AGCTGGGCCTTCGACTGAGCCCGTTGCAACGTGCGTGTCTCTTTCTCTTGTTTCTCGACGGACGTGCAACTCGGATGCCACAAGCCTGGGATCCCAGATGGAGAGAGGATCCGGTTCCAGGAATCGAGCGTGTAAAACATCGGTTAAAGCCGTGCTTTCCGAGCCAGAATCGATGGGAAAACAATGGGCCGACAGGTCCTAAAGTGTCTGACAAATGTTCCACGCGTGTTCGCGGTGAACCCGGGATATACGGGGACTCAGCGTCGCGGTGGCCCTAGCGAATTCCGTGCACGCGGGAAAAATCGGGACTCGATTTGTGGGGTTTTGATGGGGGATTGTGAACAGTTATGATATCGGCTTCGGTTCTTGAAACAGTTATGAAGAACCGAAACACGTCGTAACTGTTCTGAGCTATGTCGGTTTCGATTCCGGTCATTCGGAACCGATGTATCGCTTAGGTTCTATAACTGTCATTTATCGATTCTTCATTTCGATTTTTTGTAACTGTTTCGAGAATGACAGTAGATATAGAACTGTTTTAGGATCGATATTAACCTTTTGTACTCGAAAGATTTTCGTTAGGAATATTCAACGTTTTCCAGTGAGATGTAAACGATATTCTTTGAAACTAATCAGGAAACGAATTTAGAAATATTTGAATATTTTACATGATGCTGCATTAATACAAAGGTTAACATTATACCTTTATGAATGTTTATGATTTTGGTATGTCAAATCAATTGGTGACAGAATCACCTCTCCACTGCAGGGGATTAAGAATCGGAATCGAAACTGATATATCGAATAACAGTTGTGACTTATTTCGGTCCTTCATATTTTCAGAACTTTTTGAGTCCTTGGTTTTAGTAAACTATTATTTTTTATATAGTTTTCTGATATCGTTGTTTCATTAGTCTTGGGATATAATGAGGAAATAAATTTTGCAGCGTATAAAGTTAACTCCATTACGGTGCCATTTATAGTATTGGACATTTTAATAAACAAAGCTGAAAAAACTACCTTAAGCTTATTGCATTTGTTACATATACAAATTATGTTGTAAGAGAATAAGGAATGTATGAAATTGTACAACATAACAGTTTTTCATTTTCTTCAGGGTTACTGTGGAACTGGCTTGGAGCTGCTGGCAAGTGAACTCGGTTGGAGTGCTAAAGGTCAGTATTACTAATATTTGAATGCACTCTAATGGTATCCTTTGAGAAATGTACTAACGGAAAAGAAGATTTTGCAAAGTAATTATTACTTAGTCACCTAATTATTTCTCTCATAATATATAGTAAACTCCGCAGTGAATAGTTTACATTTTCCTACATAGTCACACATAAATATCACGAAATTTCATTCAAATCTACGCAGCGACCGAAAACAAAACAATTCATCTCGAATTTCAACTCGATTTAAATCATCGAAACGAAACTGTTACAATTGGTATACGTACAACAAAATTCCCATTTTCGTTGGAAAAGTACAAAACGCATAACGAAATGGGCGAAACCTTTTTCCTCTGCGATTTCCATAATTTCCATGACTCGGCTTCCAGAAACTTATGTTTCCGTAAGTATCCTCGGTCGACTAATTACAGTGGATCGCTTCGGGTAAGCGATCGGGGCACGTGAAAACGGCACGTAACACTTTCAGGTCCGCGATCGGGAGAGATCCCTTCCCGATTATCCCGGGCTCTGCCTGGAGAAATACTCCGGACGCCGGCATTAAGCCGCGCTCGGGAACGCGGCGGGACGCGGAATCGTCAATTACCCGTGCATCAAGCGCTTCCTGAACGATCCGGCGAATGAGGAGAGCCGTCTGCGAGGTTGTTGTTGCTGTTGCTTCTTTTTTATTAGGCAATGAACTGCGAAATCGCTGAATTTAGAAATTTAGACGATATTACCGATCGTAATCGATAAGCGAATGTTGCGTTCTGTATTCTTTCGTTTCTACTTTTCGTGCTGCTTGTGTCGTTGAGTGAAGGTGTAACGTGTTGACAATTATGGTGTAAATTAAAAATTGCTAGCAATCACTTTTTACACTTAAAACCGATGATCTTCGTTTTCTTGTTGATTTAACTTTTCTCTCTTTAAATTGGTCATCTTTATTTTCTTGTTCATTCAATTTCTCTCTAAAACCGATGACCTTCGTTCCTTTATCAACTCAGTGTTCTCTCTTGAAATCTTTGTTTTCTTATCGATGCAATTTTCTCTGTGAAATCAATCGTCTCTGTTTCCTTGTTAAATACCACTCGCTCGACGAAGAGAATATTCTTCGAGTATCCAATAACTGAGGAAACAATTCTCTGATGTACACGCGTCACAGGACTTGAATTATTATAATTCGTAGTGGACACTCCATATGTGCACACTCCGAAATTTCTTTAATTTTATGTAATAAACCCGGGATACAATTATTAAACGCACGTGAGAGGACAATGTTATTTAAGTTCCCTCGCATCGTCGTGTCTCGTGATGCGCGCCTTCTTTCCCCTTCGTGCTCGAACTTCTTCATTCGAGAGAGCCGAGACGAAACACGCCACTTATCCTCCCTAATTTACGTGCGTCGCCCGTCCCGGCAACGAGAAAACACCGTTTCGTGTCCCTAAATGCGACTCGCCTGCTTTATTTGAATGACAGTGATCCACCGCATGGCGGACAGCTTCCGCGGTGTCGCCGGGATCCAGATGATGTCCACGACGATAAACGCGAAAGAATTGAGAGATCCTTGCCCTTTAAGCCTCTGCACGCGGAAGTATTTCGATAGAAATGTTTAACGCTTCCCAGCGAGACGAAACCGATGTTTTTCCGAGAGTGTGTTTCTTGTATTCATTTGAAATTCTCAGAGAGCAATCACAAGTCAATTCAGGAACAAAGCTATTTTATCCCGATATTTCATACACTAATACATTATACAGAGTTCAATATTAAATATCAGATTGTATAGTTTCACTGTATCAAATCAAGTGGTGAGAGTCACCCTATCGACAATGATTTTGTGAGTTCATATTATTTACACATCGTGAAATTAGATTTTGGAATTCGATGCAAGCTTCTATCTAAAATTTAAGCCAAGAAACTTTCCAATTTACAAAAGAAATTCTTCGAACTAAAGATAAAAGGAGAAGAAACAATCCTTGTGAGCCGAATTTTAAGAACAAAATCTAGTTACTATAATTATTACGTATAGTTTACTATGATAATCATTAAGTATTATAATAGTTAATATCAAAGGTAAATTCTCGAATTAATTCGATCGACCGGTACGCAACCGTGACAACGATCGTTACGACGATTGGTGTTATTACAATCAATATGGCGGCCAGGGAACCGGTGCAGCCAGAAGGAACGTTTTTTCACGGAACAGGGATCGATGTCTAATGAAATTCAGCGTCCCCGCGAAATTAATACGACCGCTGGAAATTGTATACCATTAGCTCTATTTTGGTGGAACGTCGGAACCGTATGATGGAACGGAGAGGGAGAGAGAGATAGAGAGAAAGAGAGAATCGTATAAACCGGTTGGATGCCACGGTCCCATTACGGGATTCATCGCCGAGTCGATATGATTGAGTAGAATACCGTATCATTACCTCGGTGGTAGCAGCGTGGAATTTCACGGAGCAACGAGAGTCGTAGAAACTGTTTGGCGCCGCTGGCAGCGAAAGGAATCGCATGTACACCTGCGAGTAGATATCGATATCGTTTAATGCGTCCGCCGTTGGGTGCCAGCGTGCCGCAAAATTAAATGGAACGAGCGACGCGGTTTTCACAGTGAAATAAGCGTTTACCGAATTTCACTGGGGCTTTCTCCGAGTCCGTTTGAACATTATTTCAAAGTTGGGGACTATGTGATAAGCACTTCATTCGGTAGGAATTGAATATTCGAAGATTATGTTAGAGTTAGTAGAAAGATATTTAATATTTAATGCCGTTTGAACAATTATCGGAGCATTTCTATTTCAGTTGTTCCACGTTTGTATAGATATGAAGCAAGGACATTAGAAATTGATTTAGGATAGCGAAGATTCACTAAATCATTGTATAAACCTCAAGTCTCCTCCAGAAGTGAAGAATTCTCGGAACTCCATTATTTTCAACATCAGGACCTCAGTAACTAAACGGATCTTCATGCAAATTCGAAATTTCAAGCATATAATTAGAAAAATACCACTGTGGAAAATGATTATTCGTAACAAATACTGTACAAATCACTACACTTCACTTATTTTACAGATTCTCCCATTCCGCGTACCTTCCGGTGCAACCACTCCCAGATTTCCCCTAAATGCATCGAAATCGATCAACCTCCAAATCAACCCGAAAACTCACCCCTGACTCTCAATAAAAATAGCCACCATAAAACTCTCCAAATTACTTCCCAGGTGAAAAAACTACCCCTGGAATTCCATCTTCAAAACTCACCCCTAAAGCTCCTCCTCGATTGAACCTCAAGAAGTCCCTTCAAAAATCCTATTTCCCTGCAGTCCACCAGCCGTCCACCAGGAACCTCTCCTATGTCATCGATGTCGGACTAGCAATGAAAATCTCCATCAGTGGCGAGGTTTTCATACCGCTAAACACTGTTAGCCGCGCGTCGTTGAGTACCGGTTATGACGAACGACCGAGCCGGGCAGAGCCGCTGCGCCGGGAGGATCTCGTTCCATCGAGAGGGGCCCCCGGGAGGATCCCTCCTGCAGCCGTCCTCGTCGTGAGCACTGCGCCCCGTCTCTTTCTCGAAGGAAGTAACAGTATCCGAGTGGATGGATTCCGTTGCGAGGTGTGCAGGGACTCCGGTGTGGATTGTGTGCAGAATGAACGCAAACTGTGAGGGTAATTTGCAACACCGGCAATTTACATAATTAGCAGTTCTGAACTCGCGGACCCTCGACTAGCCTCCACCTTTCTCCCCCCCTGCCCCCTTTGCCCTGGCATACCACCCACCCCTTCGTCCGACCGTTTCTAACCCCCCTCCTCGCGTCTCACCGCGCCTCGTGCCTATCCTACGGTCACGTTCCCGCCTCCTCCCTTCGGCTCACCTGTCCTCCCTTCGGCCGCTCTCGGGATCCTGTTCGCGGCGAGGTGTCCTTATCGGCGGAACAGGGATTTCTGTTGCGCGTGTTCCTTATCTCGGGACTTATTGCTCGGATTCGATGGTTGGTTTTGTGGAAAATCGTGCTGGAGGCTGGGGTGGGTGTTGATAGGGTGCTTCGGTGGATGTTGAACTTAGGAGTGATCGTGGCTGGGAGTTTTGTGTGTTTATGGTATTCTTGGTAGTCGATTCTTGACATTCTTGCTGGTAGTTTTAGAAAGAGTGTGCGGAGTTTCGGAGAGTGATTCGTTCAGTTTTGAATTTGTTTTGAATGGTTGGGAGTTTTGTGTGTTTATGGGATTCTTAGTATTCGGTTTGATGTTTCTGTGGATGATTTTGGGTGGAGTGTAGGGAATTTTCGAGGGCAATGGGAATTTTGAATTCGTTTGGAGATGATATTGATTGGAAATATGTTTGTTTAGAAATATTGATAGTTCACTATTTGTACGCGATGTGGAAGGAGAATATCTCGGGTTGCGATTGGATCCTGTTAATCAATGAAGCAAGGATAACAAGGAAATATCTCAATTATTCAGACGTTAATCTGTAGGGGCGTTGCCTTCCAAAAAAATCTGTGGTTATATAAAGTCGAAACGCACGAACATTCGGGTAGAATATCGCTATTAAATCTTCATCGGTGTTCCCTTAAAGCGTTCAGAAACCTCGGACCCCGTGACACACATGCACACACGCGCGCGACGTGAAACAAAAAGTCACAGGCGACGTCGAGCTCGGTCTCCCTAATTAAGCCGGGTTGTTTAATATCGTGTTCGAGCACGTTGTTCCACGATTTCGACATTCTTCCGCGAGCCCGTTACTTCTCGACGCCCGAAAACACCGTCGGTTTCCACCGTGAAACGAGATTACCAGCCGATACGACGGATCGATGCGAACCGGGCGACGCGCTAATTGCCAGATCACCGGGTAATAATCGATTAAGGACGCCTCGCCCACGAATATTAACGCCTCGTACTTGGAAGTTCTTGGTCACTGTAAACGTTCATCGTTTTTCCGTGAAGCGTCGATGCCAGTTTTTACAAATAACATCATAAAAAGTTAGTGACAATTTAAAAAGATTTATGTATTGTTTCGTTTGAATATTTCATGCTTTCGTGAATCATATAAAACTGAATATCAAGCTTCATAATTGTCCCGAATCAAATGAATATAAGTTGTTTCTCAGTTGGAGAGGTTAGCACTTTGGTAGAATATTTTGAAACGAATTAAAAAATATTTGGAAGACGAGTAAATAGGTATTGAATGAAGAAAGTTATAACTTTTTGTAATATAGTATAAAGAGAAACGTTTAGAAAGGAAATTCTCGTGTTTGATTAAAATATTTGAATAAAACCTATTGAGGAAATGGAGCATTATCTCTCAATTTTTTAATTTCAAATGATCAGGTCCTAAGGGCCAATTTTACAGCAGTTTAACGTGTTAATGAGCTAATTTTAGTGAGCAGGCAAGGAGCAGACATCGGAATGAACAATGAGGTCTATTAATTGGCAATCGTGGGCCGCGTCGATTTGACATGCCCCCAACTGAGTTCAATTATCAGCCTCTTGGTCAACGTTCCAATTAACGCGCTTAATTATCGCGCCGCGTACGATTCCGCCGTCGTAACTCCGATCCCGTGACGATTAATCGAACCGCTTAATTTATCGGCAATTTCTGCGCAACCACGTACGTACCCATCGCCGTATGACGTTTAATTATTTTCCTGGGGAACGGTTAATAGAACGTTTAATTACGTCATACGGGGAAGATAAACGTGGGTAACGTGGAAATTTCAGTTCTGCTTTCGTAACTTTCAACGAGACCGTGAATCGCAAGTATATTCTTATCATTCATTTCCATGGAATCAAGAATATATTCAAGAATGTTTCATTATTACGATGATTGTGCCATTGAAACGATGCATCCGGTGGAAGATCAATTCAACAGTTTATATGGCTTTAGAAATATTTAATTTTAAAGTCTCGAAGTGAGACTGTGTAAAAATAAAATGGCGCCTCATGTAACGGAGTACCCAAAATCAAAGACTAAAATTCAATACTATTTTACAAAGTTGTAAAATAATGTTGTCTGTTCCGATTTAAGACACTTTATTCTGCCATTTAGTAGTAGCTTCCTACAAAATATCAATTCGATATTTCGAAAAACGTCGAAGATATTAAATATTTAAATTTCGAGGTGAAGTAACCGTTAAACAATATGGCGGACACGTGGTATCTTTCAACGTGTTGCTTCTTTACGTTGTTATATCGTTTCCTTAGTTCATTCCTCACACAGTGAGATCGTATCCTTCACGGTTTCTCGTATTCAAAATCGATGGAGAGAGGTTCAACGGCGCCGTACACGAAATTCACGAATGGAACCGGCGATTCCGGTGCCCCGGCAAGGATAATGACTCTTTGTAGTACCGGCGTGTCTGCATATCCGTTGTTTCGGCCACGAAAGCAGACGCGGCTCGCTTAATTACGGGGGAGTCAGCCGGAGCTGGCGTAATTATTCGTCTCGAGAGCGGCGATTATAAAGCGATTATCGACAAGAATCGGGGCCGGTAGCTTGTGAAAGAGGAGCTCGGGATCCTCGAAAGGACACTTCCGTGAAAACGATTTGTCGAGGGAATAATAACCACCGTCGAAAATATTTTGCATACCGAGGAATCCCGTTTGACGGAATTTACATAAACGGTCTCCTTGAACACCCGACATTGGAAGCATTGTCTTCGACTTTTTCAAAAATTTGTTAAAAAACATGTAATAATTTTGGAAATATTTGGGCATTATTGACCGATATTTCAGAACACAAACTCTTAAGTTCCTTTGAAATTTAAAAAAGGATTAATCTTTAGATTCTCACTTTGTGTTTCTCTTAATTTTTATTAGTAGAAGATGAAGATTTAATTTATCGTGTGAGTCTAATAAATTATGATTGTGTGTTCAGTGGTACACCTCCTTTTGTTTATGATTACAAAATAAAGCCTCCAAAAACTAAAATTCGTAATTTCCGTTCCCAAATCATAGCAGAAGGATGTTAAACACAGAGTTTCGGAAGCTTCGAGAGAATCGAAACCCGCAGTATCATCTTCGTTCTCCCAATACACTCAAGATAAGAGAACACGATGCTGAAGAGACAATTCTGGAAGGCAGAAATGAATAAAAAAAGAACAAAAACGTCACAGGTGTATCGTGAAGAGATGATATAATTTATTTCGCTATATCGTTAGAACACGAACTGAGTCATCCGATGATCGTACAATCCTACGCCTTTGCACGTCGAGTAAAATCACAATTTTTTTATGTACAATCTATATACAAAACGGAGCCCCGCGGAGTTGATCGTTCGCCAAGAATCAGAAACCGATCGATCCGAGCGAGCTGCACGGGCAACGATTCCTTGAATCTCGCTTGGATCGATCCACCTCGTCACGCGAAAACCACTCGCGAGTCCCTTCGAGGAATCCTCTGAATCTTGATTCATCGAAGGGACTCTAAAAAGAAACGAAAGAAATTCCTTGGAGAACGATCATCCCCTAACAGGGCCGCCCCTCTAACGGTCTATCGATACAATAATTTAAATCGTCAGTACATTTCGGAGACATCGATCGACAAAGGGAAAATACTGGTCGCTCGTGGGACAACGACGTTTAAATACAATCGCAAAGTACAACTCGAGTTTACACTGGGATCATCCCTAAGGGTACGAAATTTGGCACTCTGTCCTCCTTCTCCGCTGCACACGCACACTTTCACACCCACTCTTCGTTACTTTCACTCTTTTTTTCTTTCTTTCACACTAGATTCATCGCTCGTTCTCTTTCTCTCTCTCTCTCTGTCAAACTATGTACACTCTAACCTCGGATTAAAAGAGATCCACGCGGCCTTCGGCACGCGGGACACGGCTGATCCATGGATCACGGTGATTCACGGACCACAGTCTTCGATTCCTCTCGGTTATTTATTTACACGATCAAAGGAGGGTGGGTGGGGGAGATAATAACGCGTTCTATGGCAAGATGCAACTGCGCGGACGCGTCGACGAAGATCGAACTAGCAGCCGACCCCTTCTCTTTTCTTCTGCTGATGTTCTCGGGGTAGTCCCCTAGACATCTCGGTGTCCTTTTCGTGGCGATTTCGATCGAGGAACTATGGGTTAGAGTGAGAAAACGGTGCGATTCCATGTCGGACACGAGGGGATCGATTGATTCGAAACACTCGAGGCTTTCTCGTCGTCGCTTCGGCCGGAAGCTCGGCCATTTGGGCGCACAAGGAACAATGCCTCCATTAGCCAGCTTCCGAAGGTTTCGCAGTATCGCGCAATTCCATCGATTTCCGAGCGCGGGGCTGTTTCGCTTGGAGACACGCGGACACTGCCAGTTCTGCCAACAGGGAGAATACGGCGTGAAGCTACGCGACAATTTCTTCTGGAATTGCTCGTTTGTTTCACACAATTTCTATTTTTATTGTGCTCCGATTCGATTCTTCGGGGAATTTTTCTTAGCGTCTTGTCGACTGATTTATTTTCGATTCTTCTGATTCTGATCTTTGGAATTTCGGTCCTCTTTTCCGGATATATCGTGCAGAGTGTTTTACTCGGTACACTTTGTGCTTGATTATTATCTTAATCTCGAACCTTTCAGATTCCACCAATGTTTCAGCATTCGGAAAACAGTTCTTCTCAGGATTTCCGTAAACACACCGAGCACCGATTTCAACGACCACCGTTCCACGGAATTCCAACGGAGTTCGTCTCACTGGTTCCTAGTTTCCAAACGGTCTTGCTAGTGGAACTCCTTAAAATTTTCCTCCATCGTGCGGATGTACATCGAAGTTCCAGCTATAATCAAAATCGCTGCCTGATCCAGCAATTCCAACTCAACAATGCTCCGAATCGAATTCCACACGGCGACTCTTGATCCACACCCGACACTGTTAAGATTCACTCTAAGCAATTCCACGATACGTCACTCTAGCACCCCGCAATTCCACCCTTAAGCGATTCTTCTGTCAGCCTATTTTCCGCGCCACGCGGTGCCGAGGTCGTGGCTGGCGTGTCCGACAATTCCATCAGATTATGGCGATTCCCCGCGCGTCGAATCCGAAGCAGCTCGTTCTCTGCCAGGATCGCGATTCCATGGGAGAGCCAGATCCGTACTACGCCTCTCGGTCGAGAGGTCCACGATCGATCGAGCTGGAACAACGCACGATCGTATCACGCGGTTGCACTCTCTCCTTCTCGTCGGATCGGACGGGATTCCTGGCGCCTTTAGTCCAGGCAGAGAACGTCTAGCTACGCCTCGGAACCGCTCGAACACTCCTCGGCCTCCGGATCGATGTGCTCCTCTTCCTCCTCCTCCTCGTGATGATAGTCACCGGTCTCCTGCTGCCACTTGCTCACGTGATGGGTGTTCTTGTTGTTGCTGTTGTTGTTCGCGTTACCGCCACCACCTCCTCCACCGCCGCCGCCTCCACCGCCTCCACCGCCCCCGCCGCCGGATTGCTGCTGCGCTTTAGCCTCCTCCTCCTGCTGCATACGCTTATGCTTCGTCCGCCGGTTTTGGAACCAGACCTTCACCTGTAACAAGAAGCAATGACGATTTGATTAGTGTCGTAAATTATGCTTGTCACAGTGTTTTCCGTGACTTAATTCATTGTCGATGATGACTGTTTAATCATTTAGCTGTTGCACGCTATTTTACAGTTTCTATTCGAGAATTTCATGGAATGAAATTTCATTGTGTCAGCCTTTCGTAGTGACTAGAATTATTGTATGTCAAATTTGCTTAGAATTAGAAGTCTCATTATTGTTAAACGCCACAGATTTCTCACCGGCATCGAAAGATCTCCAAAGAAAATGGCGTCGGTTATAATGGGGAACCAAGCGACCAACCCTACAGCAACCGGTCGACCATCTTACGAACAGGAACAAGATCAACAACGTTACTCCCCGATGCAACAGATCACGTCGCAATAAAGTGTAAATTCTTGCTAGTCAGTAGTCATTCCTTTCGCTATCAGTTCGTTGGGGTCGAGTACAACCAGAGAGAGCAAGAAATAATAAAGGAAGGGACGTGTGCGTGGACCCTCGAAGTTTGCCAAATTAAGTGGCAACTAGTTAGAAAAGCCGGTCCCGGTTGTGTATTATCGAGCAACCCCTAAACGGGGTGTATCCGGTTACAATGGTCCGTGTCAGTGACGCGGAACCCCGTCGCGACTGGCGAAAGAATAAAAAAACGAAGGGGAGAGGGATGAAACGGCGGCGAAGGGCTGAGCGCAGCCATTGTCCCCGAATTGACTGTTAGATACACATTGTCCCGGGCGAGCGCTTCCTGGGAGAGGAGAAGGGTTGAATGGGCTCCATTTTCGAGCTATCAACGCGTGAAATCGGCATTGTCGTCGCGAGAAACGGCGAAGGGGGTGGCGGCGCGCACGGGGGCACGGATGTTTGTCTAGCAGAGGACCCGGCGCGGTTTTGACAAGACCGGGATTAACTCGCGTCGGGGCTCGGTATCATGGCCGATCATCTAGCGACAGAGTGGAAACTGTTTATAAACACGCTTTGTGCGGAGGGTGGATGATGGAATTTAGGGGTTAGAAGCGGCTGGAGTCACGGGATCGCTCGAGCGTCGGTGGTTTTGGTAATTTATGTTTTTTGTAAGTGGACAAGAGCGAATTCAGAAGGAATTTAATTGATTAAATGAAACATTCTTGTCATTTGTTGGAAAGTATAGAAATTCTAAATTCAATGTAATAGATGATTGTTGCGCACGTTTTGAGAAAATACTATTGCTTTCTGTCATCAATATTTAACGTTTATGTCTTCAACCGCACGTAGAATTATAATGAAAACAGAAGACTTTTGTCTCCTATTACGTTATTAGTGATACAATAATTCCACTGAACACAGCAGTGAATTAAAAATTGAAAGAAACTTATATTAAAATTCGTTAATATTTTTATTTCTCCATCACAGTCCTACTTTCTATTTTTCGTTCAATCATCTTTATATTTCCATCTCAATATACTAAGTGACAATAATATAGTAAAGATTATTTATACTTCAAATTGACCGTATTCTTCGTTGTTCATTGCCATTCTAATCGTCATCCTATAAAACAATGTTTACCGCTTCAATTTAAGTAGACAAATAAACAGTTCCTATCAGACTTCGCTGCCGTCGGTGATCGTTCCCACGAATTTCACCCGCGCCGAAAATTCCTCGCGGCGAGGACCGATAAAACACGCCCGTGGCCGGCGCGTTGGCTCGTCGAATAAAATCGCGGCGGTATCGCGGCATAAATCGTCCAAGCTGTTGGAAGCTTTTATGCGATTTTTACAACCCGCGCCCCCGTAAAATACTGGCGTGGATTGCGGTGCTCACCTACGCGCCGGTGTGACGCGGAGGGTAAACTCGGTTAAACCGAGTGTAAATCCAGCTGGCTCGAGTGTGTAAATCCACCTTTACCTCGTTCCGCGAGACCGGCGGACCAGAGACAGAGAAAGACTCGGAAACGGAGGGGGTTGGAAGAAGAAAAGAAACAGAGAAAGAGTGGATTGTGTGAGAGAGAGAAACAAAGATACTGAAAGAACGAGAGAAAAAGATAAGGGAGGGTAAAAATAGAAGGAGAAAGGGATATAGTGAGAATGAACAGAAAAACGAAAGCAAAGGGAGAGTTAGAGAAAAGAATAGCTAAGGGGTTGATAGCAGTGAAAAGGAGAAAATGAGAAAAAAAGAATGAGAAGGGTGACGAAAGCAAAGAAACAAATAGAGTGAGAAAGTGAGAATATGGAGGGGTGAAAGTAGAACAGAGAGAAACTAGTTTAATAGACAGAATGAGTGGGGGAATGAGAGTAGAGAGACAGTGACAATAAAAAAGCCAGAAAATGTGTAGAAGGATAGAAACACAGTAGCAGAGAGAGTCTAAGAGAGAAAGTAAGAAAATGAAAGCAAAGAAACAGAGACTGTATGAGATAGAATATAGGGGATGAAAGCAAAGCAACAGAGACGGGGAGTAAAGGACATAGACAATAGGGGTTGAACGTAGAGAAACAGAGAAAGACAATATGGATTGAACGCAGAGAAACAGAGAAAGACAATAGGGGTTGAAACCAGAGAAACGTGAAGAGTGAGAGAGAAAGGGACCAAGTTAGGGGATGAAGAAGAGTGAGGGATGCGAAAGGCTGAAAGCGTTGAGCTGATCCTGGTTAGCGGGAAAAGGGGTGGCCAGGGTTTCCGCGTGCGTCGAGATCCGCCAATCGGGTTTCAGGACCGCTCCCGGTCACCATGGCGACCGGGTCGGGGACAGAGGGCGATTACGAAATGGGGGTAACTCGATTAAACCGTGCGACGAGGGTCCTGCTGGGAGTGTTAGCGAGCGGGCAGAGGGTTCCGGGGGATGGAACTACAGCGTCGTTAACGGGGCCGGTCTCTATTTGCCCTCTTAATCATCCGTTAAGTGCCACAATCCTCGAAAAGTTCCCCAGGGCGCGCAACCCCCGCGAAATTTCGCTGGTTCGCCGCCGCCATTAATTCCGCGGCTAATTGCTCGTGGTATTTGGCAGACGGTTATTCTCCGGCCGGGATTAGACGATCGTTTATTTTTCCGACGGTGATCCTGCGGCTGACGGTGTCCTTCGAGGGCGTTGGAGAGGTGATCGGGATGGGGTTGAAGAATTTATTCGGCTGTTCTTGGGAGGATTTTAATTTGTGTCGGGTTCATCGTGGAAAATGTTGAATCATTTGTGAGTTGGTTTATTGAGATACCAGTGTGGGGGGAGTCTTTGTTGATGGTTTGACTGACCAATTTGCTACCCTCTTTTTGTGATTATTGAACTGGCAGTTGAGAAGCGTTTAATTTAATGTAATGAAAGTAATTGTAATATTGACGATGAATTGGAATGTTCTTTACAATACAGATAGAAGAGAATAGTCTCACGTTAAATTCGATGAAATATTAACAACTTGCGATCCTTTCAATGAAACTCAGCATTCGATTCTACGTTTATGACTTCAATATTTTCTCAATTCTTGTTATGATTATTTATAGTATCATACTGACATTTACACATAATCTTAGTCCGCAGTTTCTATTAATTTCACAGTACGACTGTTTAAAGGCACGACATCGACGAGCGAATCTCAAGAGCAATTCAATCTATCAATTTTCTTTACAACAAAGACGACCATAAAATCCGGGAACTACACTGAATTTTCGAGAACAGTTCGCAACCGACCGAATAACGTTCGTTTCCTCCATAAAATTCGAATCACGGATATTTCTCACCGTGACGAGCGACGAGACAACGGTCATCTTCGTATGAATCCTGGCCAATAACAGGACACGAAAAGATTCCGGACGCGGCCGCGATAAAGCCCGACGGCGGCGGCCATCTTGGCCCGATTTATGGAAACGCGGGTGCAATAAATTGCGACAATGTCCCCGTCAGTTTAATTACGATAAAACTCCGCGTTTCGAGACGACTCACCGACGGCGTTTAAAATCGACGAGGAGAAAACGCCGCGAGACGCACAATCGCGGTATTAATTTCCATTAGCGGGTATCCAATTTCCTGTTACGCGACGGCAGGGCATAGCGAATCGCTTGCTAGCACGCCGCCAATAAACGTAATTATATTTAACAGGGGACGTAAAAAGGCTCCGATAGATTAGGCCTGGATACCCCCTATCGCTTTTCCTCCCCTTTTTTTCTCAATTTTCAGCTATTCTTCCGTTTCTCTTTCGCTATTTTTCCTCTCCAGGCACTCGGAATCCCACGAGATGGTAGAGCGAGATTGACCGGACGCGCGGGTAATTAGAACATGAGATATTAATCGGGGTTAATTGAAGACTGTGATTATCTTGTTTGTGAGACGATACATTTCGTTCGTAGAATAAAAATGTTGTGTTTCTAGGTTTATCGCGTGCTTGGGGGATATATGGAGTGGATAATTATTTGGTTTTTTTGGATCGTGGAGAGTGTTTTATGATGGTAATAATGTGGGTCGGAAATAATTTAAATAATCCATAATGATGAACTATAGATAATTATGGGAAACTTTATAGAAATTTACTGAGTCTTCTTAAATAACTTATTAATCTTGCTTTCAATATAATAGTGATATTCAAAAGTAATAAGATTTCCTTCGCTATTTCATCTCAATTTTAAGAATGTAATTAATATTCACCTCTATTAGCATCTATCTACAATATATACGATAAACTGATTAACAAACTACCTCTACAAAAAGCGTTAAACGCGCTATCACAACCCATCAACAAGTCCCGTCCATCACAACTACCGCCGCAGCCCTCCAGCCAACTAACCGCATCGCGAAACCCTCGAAACCGCAGTCCCCAATAAAATCACCCTCGATAATTGCCTCGAGCAACCATGAACCTACCAAAGGAAATCGAATCCGCTACCAGTTTCGGCCTTCAAACGCGAGCACCAGCGACTTAAGTCTTAAACTTCACCCACGACGTCCATATACTTAACAAAATCAGCGTCCATCAGCGCTGGAAACGAGCATGAAGGTACCGATCAAAGGAAGTCCGACTAGCCAATAATCCCGCGG